CTAGACAAAAGCCCATAGCCCAAGACATCACAAAACAAAAATGGAGCTGGATAGGACAGACCCTGCGAAAACCAGCTACCAATGTTGCAAGGCAGGCTCTTGACTGGAACCCACTAGGAAAGAGGACCTGGAAGAGATCAGTCATCAGTGAAGCTGAGGGTACTGGAATGACATGGGAGCAGATGAAGAAAGCTGCTCAGAACCGAGTTCGGTGGAGAGGTGTGGTTGCGGCCCTATGTTCCCCTGGGAGTACACAGGATTAAACAAACAGGAAGCATCAGTACCATTCTTGGCACTAGCCAAGAAGAAAAATCCCCTAAAATATTCAAGTATATCATTCGACTGAAACATTGTAACTTTCATCTTGGCTAGAGCTTCTTTTACAGAAAATGAAATGACATCATCTTCAGAAATCTCAATGGCCAATTATTTACTATGCAATTCTACAAAATTTATAATAATTACTTGTGAAATTTCAATAATGTTTTATCCCTGAAGAGTGTCGTCATTTGTTAAACAGTGACTACTGGTTGGCATCCTGATATTACAGTGCTTGCTACAAAGTCAATAGATTTGATTAAAACTTTTTTTCGTTTTTAATCAAAGCAGTGTTCATATACATACATGCAGCTGGTATGCATTTGAAAGTAAGGGTTTCACATTTTCATTGATATATTAAGTATGAAATAGCATTTTAAACCTTTTGATAGAATTAAACAATTATAATATGTTTAGTTGAAATGAAAAACAAAGTATTTAGATCTATTTATTAATTGTCAATAGCATGTTCCAATAGTTAGCCACTGTCATTTATTTTTTTAAATTACCAGTTATTCACAAAGTGCATTTTTTTACTTGGGTGTCACCCCCCTAACCGGTGTCACACGGTGCAGACTGCACCCCCCTAGTGACGCCACTGGTAATATGTACTTTTTACTTGCTGATACTGATGATAAAATTATATAATACTATTCAGACACTTGACAATGGAATGTAGGGCAGGAGTGGGCCAATTATGGTCTGCGGGCCACAGGCAGCCTGTTACGTATCTAGGTAACAATGCCTAGATACTATTTTTTTCTTGACCTGTAGGTTGTCTGCCCCTTGTGTAATAAGTTTTTTTTTTATTTTTCACGGTGAGTCAAGCCACACAGACAGTGACCGGTCCTTGACCTATGTGTGTACCTCTGGTTGAAAGGAGGGTGGTTTTTTTTTTCTTCTGTCTCTTTGAAGAGCGTTCTAGATCTGGGTGTTGATGACTTATTCTGTTCTAGAAATTACTAGATTTGTCTTGATATCGACGCGCGGTATATTATATAAAGACCGCCCGTGTAACGTTGACGGACAGACATACGGAGACAGCCGTGAGACAGAATAGCGGAGACATTGCGTGACCCGTGCGTGGTATACCAATTGATCGTGTAAGTTAGATTTTTCTTTTTCAAGGCCTTGCTTGTATTTGTAATTATATTTTCAAACTCTTGTATTGTAATATTTTTACATGCCATTTTTGTAAAAGGGTTTTGGTCAACCCTTCCATTTTGTATTGAGTAAATGTTTGTTTTTTTTTCTTGCTTTATGTGATTCAGTTAAAAGTACTATTCGAGTTATATTTTATTAAACCTTAAGTTGATATTTTACCTTCTGATTTCTTGTGTCATTTTTTTTTGTTATTCATTGTAAGTCTTTGATTAAATTCAGACTTTAGATAAGTGACACAACTGCTTTTTCTATTGTCACGTTCCCCTAGGCAAGCCATTTAAAAATTAGAATTCAATTCGTAATACGTGACAAGCTCATCGGAGTGTTTTATGCGGCCCGTGGACACCTACAGAAATCAGATGTTCCCACAGATTATACATATAAAAAATGAAAATATATTAAAAATAGCTAATTTTAAATATCTATATAAATTATTGAAACATCTGATTCTTATCACTTATGATGAAAAGGCTAAAGAAATATTGTCTCTACACGTCATTCTAAAAAGTTTAAAGTAAACAGTGATTATTCTTATTGGCAATATTTCAAACATTCAGACAAAGATACAAATTCAGGCCAGTATTTACTTATGAAGAATTATGTTGAAAGTGTTGGGATGGCTTAGAACAAGATGGCAAGTGTAACAGGCTCCGAGAAAAACAGTTGTTTTTTTTAAAGAACAATATCCCAACCATTAAATTCTGAAAGGGGAAAATTAGCGCTAAGCTGCATTGAATATAAAACATATTATTGACCCAATCTCTCAGTGATCAAACTTAGCAGAGCTAGTAGTCTTAGCCACAGTTCCGATAAGTACTTGAAGATTTGGAAACAAAACATTCCGATGTTCTGTACCACAGTAGTATCCGCTGGCTTAATTTGGGCAAGGTAATGAGAAGAATATTGGCTTTCAAGGAAGAAATTATATTCCTTGAAAGACATTGACTGTGGCTTTGTTATAAATATTTCTGTGGAAGACACAAGACTTTCATGTTTATGTCAACATACAACACAATAGTTTGTTGGTCATGAAATGTATGTGCATCTTAAATCTTTTCAAGCAAAGCTTTCCCATTTCTCCAGGCAAGCAAGTGAAAACAGGTTTTGTCATTTTCCTTTGCTAAAAGGTGAAACTATTTCTAGTGAAAGGTTGAAACGTGCAAGGCTTATTTGGATTCCTTGATTGTGGAGTTTGAAAGCAAATTTGAAGACTTCAAGAGCTTGGAAACAGTTGTCAATGTCCTTAAACTTACCATTTATTGTAATGGCTGATTCCGCTTCAGAGGACATATTTCCAAGCAAATTATGACCCGAAAGCAGACACTGCGCCCACCACCTTTGAAACGGTAAACCATATCCTCGTTGAATGCCCCTCCCTAATTCACCTTAAGCAGACCCTACTTCCACTACAGCCCAACATAACCAGCACCCTGTACGGCAGTGCTGAACAACTGAAGAAAAGCCCAAATTTTTTTTCCTTGGCACAGTCTGCAAAAGAGCTGACAGCTCAGCAACAATAAAGCTGGCTAGAAGAAGAAAGAAGAATGACCCGAAAGAGAAGTTCCAGTCAGTTCTTTCTCTGGAATTTTATGGGTGCCAGAAGCTGTAATTCCACACTTTAAAAAATTTTGATGTTTGGGTCCCACATCCATTTGTGAACAAGTCTATATATTTTTGTAAATAAACAGTGTAAGAAAAGGTCTGTGCTGACTGTAATTTGACAGCAGTCACAAGGGAAAACAACTAGTTCGATAGTTCCAAAACATTATGCACCGAGTGTAAACAGTTAAATACTTCACATCAAGTACAACAGTACATTTTGTGGTAAAATGTTGTGATGTAAAAAGATACAGACAAATCTTTAAAAAATATTCTTAAAATTAGTTTTATGAAATTGCCAACTCTTCTTTTGTATCTTTTCTACTGGGAGTTAAAAAAAATGAAAAGTAAATATACAATGCAGTATACATGTGAATTAAAAGACATTGTAAACAGTTATCTAGCATATTTTTTCTAATTAGTAAGTAAATATTATATATATGGGCCCCCCCCCCCCATTCCCAAAATTTGTTTAATGCGACCCTCAATAGAAAAAGGTTGCACACCCCTGGGTTAGGGTAACCCAGAAACCAGTCATTAAAAACTTCTGATTGGCAAGAAAAATTAAAATAAAGGTATAGTTCCAGCTGTGAATAGTTGAACTTTGGCCTCTGGACAATGTTTACCTCTCTGTCTCTCCATTATTGAAAGTGTGTGTTAGACTATGTAGTATGTTTGTGTGGTGAATGTCTTTCTCTGAAGAAATAAGTGATGTAGTTTTTTTAAAAATATCCACTTTTGTGAATACCAATTTAGAAAGGCAAAACTCCAGAAATCAAAGTCTTTTATCTCACTTTATCTTTTAGCAGGTCTTTGAAATTATTTCATTTTATCCACAGATGGCTAAGCCCATTAGATATCTCATTTTATCCACAGATGGCTAAGCCCATTAGATTATCTTATTTTATCCACAGATGGCTAAGCCCATTAGATTATCTCATTTTATCCACAGATAGCAAAACATCTCACTTTATCCACAGATGGCTAAGCCCATTAGATTATTTCATTTTATCCACAGATGGCTAAGCCCATTAGATTATTTCATTTTATCCACAGATGGCTAAGCCCATTAGATTATCTCATTTTATCCACAGATGGCTAAGCCCATTAGATTATCTCATTTTATCCACAGATACCAAAACATCTCACTTTATCCACAGATGGCTAAGCCCATTAGATTATTTCATTTTATCCACAGATGGCTAAGCCCATTAGATTATTTAATTTTATCCACAGATGGCTAAGCCCATTAGATTATTTCATTTTATCCACAGATGGCTAAGCCCATTAGGTTATCTCATTTTATCCACAGATGGCTAAGCCTATTAGGTTATCTCATTTTATCCACAGATGGCTAAGTCTTTCAAATTATCTCTCAATAATTTAAAAATGGCAAAGTCCATTACATTATCTCTTGTAAGCCTTCAAATTGTTTCACTTTTCTCCCCAGATGGCAAAGCCCTTTTGACATTTAGACAAGAAACTCCAGGGGAGCATGTTGATCCGAATGAAGTCCTGAAGGCTTTGGGCATTGAAGGCAAAGTGGAGGTTGAAGATCATGGAGCTGCGGAGTGTGGGGCTGAAGCGTGTGCCATGCCTTCGAGACCTAAACAGAAATAAGTCTTTTAAAGTACATTCTAGAACAGGGGTAGGCAGATATTTAATAGATGAAAATGTGTTTTTTTTTTAATTCTTCAATTTTGTTTTTTACATTGATGCTAAATTTAACACAAGGTAAAGCAATGATCAAGATTTTTATCTCATATACGTGGTAGCATTCAAACTCCTGTCAAATACTTCTGACATTGGGACGGAGGCCAGAGCAAAAATAAACAAATGAATACAAAACAGTCACTTGTTTCTCTCTCACTAATTCTTCCATTAATTATTCCATCAATTACTTCAAACTCCTTTATTTTGGGGGGGGGGGGGGGGGGGGCAATTTTTTTCTTTTACTTTTGTAACAACATTTTATTATCTCCCTTAGCTGCTTTGTTAAAAGTGGCTCTGTGCTTAGTCAGTTCACCACTAGCTAAGAGGCTTTGAGTTTATATCCAGGCTCGGGCTGAGCTGTTTTCTGAGCCCTTAACGGCAGTTGAGCCTTAGTTTTAGTTTAACTTTTTTAGTCTCACTTGTCTCGTCTGATTGATGGTCCTGGAACTTTAAACTCTGCCCTCAGCTATCCCCCCCCCCCCCCCCACACCCACGGAAAATTTTAGATGTAATCATTTTTGTTTTGTCCGAATCCTGTAAAACAAATAAAAAAAAAAAAAAAAACAAGTGTTGTTCCTCGTGCTGCTCTGTCAACGTTCAAACATTGGCAGACGACATGCTTTGAAGCCATCAGGAAAGTTTAATGAATTGTTTGGTCACATTACAGGTCAGGCTCTGCATGCTAATGACATCTCTCTACTCAGTCAGTAGAAACAGTCACACGTCTGGCCTGTCAACCAGTCAATAACACTGTAAGAGTGTGACTATTAAACAATAAATAATTGGTTTGGTTGGGAGATTTTTTTCTTTAGTTGCCTGCCCCTGATCTAGTAAAATAAACTTAGTGTTTTCAGTAACCCCCATGCCAGGGATGACAAAAGATAAACAAGCATCATGATTGTTTGGTGTTTGTTTTAACTATCAGTTTAAAAAGTAATTCATTGCTTTGTTATTTATTTCTTGTAGTGTAGACCTCTGTCTTGAAGCTGTACATTAGCCAGGCGATTTGTTCTCCTAGATTGAAATGCTGTCTATTGCATTCCATTACTACAAAAAAAAGAAAAAAAGAAAATAATAAACCCTCTAAGAAAATTAGATAATAATAATATGCAGCACTAATGAATTTTGAGTTGATTAGATGCTTGCGAGGCCAGCCCATTTCCCTCAAATCGGATGTTACGAAATAATGAATCAGTATCCAGTCTTGAGCAAGAACATTGATATGTCAAGGATCTGAACTCACTGACCTACATAAAAATTATGACATCAATGTGCTGTCGTCTCACTCTGCCTCCCTCACCCCTTCTCATTGGCCAGTTCCTTCCCCTTTATAATCCTTCAATGACCTCCCCCTTTCAGACCAAGCAATGTACGAGGCAGATGATGTAAAAGTATTCTCTTTCTGTGGCTCACTGTTAACAAGAGTGTCATGTGGCCAGCACAACGATCAACCGCCTTTACTTTTCCCCAACTAATGTCAGGTACTCATTAGAGCTCGATGGACTCAGAGGCTCCTTTGAGATCCCAAAAGTAAAAATACTAATATACCAATACTAATATCTTCATCTTTTTTGAAGCCACAGCTTATTCATGGTGTAAAAATACATATTTGTTGTATAATAATATCTTTCAAACAGTAATAGTTATGTTAAGTTTATTAACTTTACTTTAAGTTTTCAAAGTTTTGTTTGGATATTGTGAATTTTATATTTATAGTACACTCCTTCTCTATAATAAACTGAATACAGATTTATTGTGACAAGATTATGGGAGATGTTATGTTTACTGTCATGAAACTAGTGTAGAACAAACATTTAGTATTATTAAGTAAAATGATATATGAAGTTTTATTAGATGAATATATGTCACTGGAATGAAACATGCCATTCTAGCGCCACCTATCGAGTTAAATTAAAAAAAAAAACTCGTGGAAAGACAACTGTGAAATGAAGTGCTTGGCTGTAGAGAGAAAGTGTTTCTCGTGACTTTATGATGGCCATGTCCCAAATCTGAACCAGATGGTGTGGTCTGATCTATCTGTGTTGACTAAACTTTTTGTGGTCACCACTGATGTCATTGGTTCACTTTCTCTTTACAGTTGGCTGACATTTATTAAGCCATAGATTTTTTTTTTCAATTATATAGACACTTGTTTGTTTATATGTAATATGTTGCTTTAATATGGTGAAATCAATTTTTAACATATATCAATACAAGTTTTGGATGTAGAATTTTTCACTCAGGGCTCAACTTGAGAAATGTTACTTCTCCTCTTACCACTACTTTACAACTACTTTACCACTACTTTAGTAATGGATATTTCTTATCAGATATTCGTATGAACTTCATAAATTTTTGTTGATCAAAATAATACGTCTTTGTTATGCAATAAAATATTCCTTTTATAAATTCATTTTCTTTTCTTGTCTCTTTTTTAATAGAAATGTAATAGTCGTCCATAGAGAGGAGGATCCTAAACATTGAATTAAGAGTATAGAAGGATGCTAGGTATCAAAAGGGAGTGGATTAGAAACAGGATCACAAAGTCAGTTGGGCCGAACGATGACCTGCTGACCACTGTCAAAAAAAAACAACAACAAAGCATACTAAAGCTGTATGGCCATGTATCATGGTCCACAAGACTTGAGAATTCCTTCCTTTAGATTCACAGCGGTTCTCAACCTTTCAAGCTCGGCGACCCCTTTTTACAATCCCCCACTCTGCCGCGACCCCCCACACACACACATACAGCAATAGAAAAGTAGGCAATAACAATCCATATTTTTGATGGTCTTAGGCGACCCCTGGCAAATGGTCAATCGACCCGCCCCCCAAGGGGGTCGCGACCCACAGGTTGAGAACCCCTGCTTTAGAAGAAGAGGCAATAACAGTAAAGAATGGATCGCACAGAAGAGAGACTCTAATCAAGGTACAAGAGGAAGGGATAAAGACAGTTGACAGATCTTGTACCCCAACGGTCTGACCGACTAAGGGATAGGTGAAGGTGGTCTGATATTAAGTTCTAGCATTAGATTCACCTGATATCTTAACTCTTTCTCTCCGTAATTATTTACCACATTCTAGTGGAATCAACGTTGGTATCGTCAGTTAGGAGAGAAAGAGTTAATGCTGTCTTCAATAATGAGACGAGACTTCTTTATATAAAACAGAGATCCTCACCACACTCTTGTATGGCTTTAAGACGTGGCATTTAAACCCCCTCTAATGCTTCCATCAAAGGTGTCTGCGCTCAATAATTTGTGTAATAAATAACTAGGAGAACTCTCCATATATATTTAGTTTCAAGACAAATACTTCATAAAGATCCAATAATTCATCAAAATTTAATTACAAAAGTGGCTCCTATTGTTTTGAATTTTTACGTAAGTCAATTTTCTTGGTTAAGCCATGAAAAACATAGAAAAGCATTTTCATTGTTGAAAATTTAGTGGGCTGCTTACATGGCCATTATTCTAGTTTTTTTTTTTACAATAACGACTAATCTAATCTCTAATAGCTAACACCTCGCAACAGCAATCGATGTTTATAAAGCAGTAGTTCTCACCACACTTTTGTATGGCTCTGAAATCTGGGTACTCTATCGAAAGCATTTAAGGTTCCTCTAACACTTTATCATGGAGGAGCGGTGGCTGAGCGGTAAAGCGCTTGGCTTCAGAACTTCTGAGTCAGCTCTAAGGGGTACCTGACATTAGTTAGGGAAAAGTTAGGCGGTTGGTTGTTGTGCTGGCCACACGACACGCTTGTTAACTGTAGGCCACAGAAACAGATGACCACAAGATCTGAAAGGGGAACTTTACTTTTTTAACACTTTATCATGGGCATACGCTGGCAAGACGTTACAAATAACTTTTTTTTTTTTCTGGAGACCTTCGTGGACGGTATAGTGGACAGCATAGAAGCATTTAGCAGCTGCTCTAGGTCGGACACCTATTTCGCATGGGGGACGACCGCATGCCAAAGGCGATCTTCTTTGGCGAGCTTAAAGGAGGACGGCGTTACAGAGGTGCCCCCCCCCCCCCCCGTAACCGCTATAAAGTTCAACCCAGGTGCCCTTTCACAGTCCCTGGCATAGAGAAATGTTGCTGCCAGAAGATGGCCTCCGAGAGAGACAGTTGGAGAGCTCTCACAAAGACTGTGGGACAACAAATTTGAGACTCAAAGAAAAGCCATTATTGAATACAGGCGCAGAAGACGGAAAGAAAACTTAAATAGACCGTCAGAAGACAACGGCTTTGTCTGCGAAAAATTCGGGAAAATATGCAGGTCGCAACGGGGTTTGCGTAGTCATGTGAAAAACTGCACTCATCCTTAATCTTCTGAACGGAAGACATTGACTTTATTATTATAACAAAGTATTAAAACGAATTTAAACAAACCGGCGGCGAAGCATTTATCAAAAAAGGTAGACAATCCTAGGAAAAAAAAAGACGACAGAATTAAACTCAGTTGTCGCTGCTGTAGTCAGAGTACCTCTCTCCTAGATGAATTGTATTTCTAGGCTGACGAGCTCCATCTTCCCCAAGAATCCTGGTTTTGTGACGCCAGGTATTCGCCTTCACCCCTTCACTTGTTAGATAGATAGATAGATAGAAAGAAAGAGAGAGGTTGAGAATAAAAAAAGAGATTTAAATGACGACCAACCAATTAGTGATTTGATTGCTGGCACTTTCCAGCGTGCGTCCAGACACGTGACACACACAAAAAAGCAGTGACAGTGAGGCGGGCACTATTTAAATGGAATATTACACTCTGTGCATCACTGACAACTAGGGGGTCATCTCACCATGAAATCAGCATTCATATTTGGCCTATCTGTAGGCCTGTGTAGTAAGTAACTTTTTAATTTTGTTTTGTTTTCTATTTTAGATAACCAATATGAGATGAATCATTTAATGTAATCTTTCTCTCAAAGCTCATAAACACAACAATAGCAACTGAAACTTCTAATAAGTTGTATGTGTTTGTGTGTGCGTGTTTGTGACACTCTCTCATTCTCTTTCTCTCTCTCTTGCAAGTACACTCAGAAATCATTACGTCCTCTATGGTGGCAAGTTTCAAACAAGTTAACATTGTGACACAAGCATACAACACTTATAGGTAGTTATTCATATTTTAACCTCTTGAAGTCTGGAGATGTTTAAGAATATGTCAATAACTCAGAGGCGTAGCTAGAGTGGGGAGGAGGGAAGGGAAGAATTTGAAAATCTCTCCGGGTCCCAACTTAAGGGAACTCCAAATGAGTATTTTTTTTTACATTAAATATTACGCCAAATGCAGGGGCCTCCAAAGAGGTCAAGCTCACTACCCCGGGTCCTTAAATGATGGAAAATTGCTAGCTAAGCCACTGCAATAAATTATCTTACTTTAACTTTTTAAAGTTGTGATTGTCGATATATTTGTTTCGAGTTTTACTACTCTGTTCATATTGGCACTGTTATTATTATTTTTTTTTTGCATAACAATTCT